TACGATTTCTCAACTTTAATACCCTGTATTTTAAAAACTAGTCATAGGATTGAATTGGTCCCATGAACACTTTTGGTCAACAAGTCGAGTATAACATCATATTCAAAATTTATTACATTTTTTACATCATTTCTTGTAAAAACCGCCGCTTTTTTCGTCAGATAACCTACATTGTGCTTTTTTAAAAAAATCTGATGTATCCAACACATGACTTTCCTATCTAGTTATTATAGGTTTTTTCCGGTAATTTTTGTACAACCTATTGCAGCACCTCTATAAATGTTTAGAGGATAAACTAAATATATACATTTTCCAAATACATCTACCTCTATAGATATTCATTGAAAATGAAAATACTGAAAACTTTAAATTTAGCACTCTTCCTCCAATTTTTCCATTACGGTCCATTTTAGAAAAATCATGTATGAACAAAAATTGGATCGATATCGCAAACAACTTTTAGTTCAACAATTTTCATAAAAATCAGGAAATTTTGACAGAAAACAAAAATTATAGATAATAATATTAGAAGTAACTTTTATTTGAACAATTACTGAGGCCCTTCCTATGGGACCTCAGTATTGCATTCGTGCAGATGAAAAAATTTTCTGACCCCCATTTTTTAAAACTTTTTTTCATGTTTCTGATCATATTAGAAGTAACTTTTATTTGAACAATTACTGAGGCCCTTCCTATGGGGCCTCAGTATCGCATTCGTGCAGATGAAAAAGTTTTCTGACCCCCATTTTTTAAAACTTTTTTTTCATGTTTTAGATCATCCTGAGTCCGAAAATAAAAAAAAAAAATTCGTCTGGTCGTCTGTATATATGCCGGCATGATAACTCTAGAACGCCTTTGTAAATTGCATTGCTCTCTATGGATCTACTTTAACACAAAAAATAGTTTTGTAGCTATAAGTTGTTATAACCTATCGTCGCAAAACTATTAATAATTTAAACATAGTAAGTAGTATTAATATAACATCAAGTATTTTTTTTTAATAAAGTACATGATCTCAAAACAAATAATCTATAATAAATGCGGATAAAACGAGGGATAAAATAAAATAAATTAAAAAGGGCAGGTTTAAAGAATATTATCACACGAAAGTATATCCGTTCTGTTTATTTATCAAGTATTGTTTGAGGTTACTTTTGAATACATTTATTGTTTTTTTTTTTATTTCTATAGACAGTCTATTAAATTTTTTAAACCTTTAATAAAAATTGTATTTTGGGAACTTTTAGTGATGGTTTGCCGTACATGAAAGTCAGATTGGTTTCTTGTATTATAGTTGTGATATTGCGAATTATATTGAATTTTTTCTAATAGATCTGATGCGATGGTACTATGTCATTTTTATTTTATAAATAAATATCAGTCATGTACTGAACATAATTCTGAACTGAAAGCCAATTTATTTCTTTTAACATAGTTGCAATACTCATCCTTCTGTCCTTTATTAATAGAATATAAATAGGCAAAGTAAGAAGCCCAAATATTTTACATGAGCAGGCTTAAGAGGTAAAGGGGCCAATTATTATTGGATAAATTGCTCGAACAAGTTTTTAAACCCTAATCAAAAGGCGATATAGAATGGTTTTAAAAATCAAGGCTTGTGAAAATCATCACATGGTTTAACCTAAGTAATGCCAATGCTTCACAAACCAAAAAATTCAACGTGCTAATACTACTATCGGCTTACGGTATTTCGTTCCAAGTTAAATCATTTCTCGTTTTTGTTACGCTACGAGTTTACCCTTGTGAACCTCAGTCTCGATAAGGTGGGAACCACCATTTTAGCGTCTCTCGAATTTTCTTCTCCAAACATAAATAACAGATATATTCCATAAAATATAAAAACGGCCTCCCATAAAGTACCTCCCCAGATGTTCTGACTTTGTCCAAAATCTAATCATTTCACGTCAGGCCGAAATAAAACTTAAGTTTAAAATTTAATCTTTTTTTCTTTATCCGTTTTTTAATTTTTTAGAAGTAACTTTTATTTGAAGAATTTTCTTCTCCACACACACACACGCACGCACGCACGCACGCACGCACGCACGCACGCACGCACGCACGCACGCACGCACGCACGCACGCACGCACGCACGCACGCACGCACGCACGCACGCACGCACGCACGCACGCACGCACGCACGCACGCACGCACGCACGCACGCACGCACGCACGCACGCACGCACGCACGCACGCACGCACGCACGCACGCACGCACGCACGCACGCACGCACGCACGCACGCACGCACGCACGCACGCACGCACGCACGCACGCACGCACGCACGCACGCACGCACGCACGCACGCACGCACGCACGCACGCACGCACGCACGCACGCACGCACGCACGCACGCACGCACGCACGCACGCACGCACGCACGCACGCACGCACGCACGCACGCACGCACGCACGCACGCACGCACGCACGCACGCACGCACGCACGCACGCACGCACGCACGCACGCACGCACGCACGCACGCACGCACGCACGCACGCACGCACGCACGCACGCACGCACGCACGCACGCACGCACGCACGCACGCACGCACGCACGCACGCACGCACGCACGCACGCACGCACGCACGCACGCACGCACGCACGCACGCACGCACGCACGCACGCACGCACGCACGCACGCACGCACGCACGCACGCACGCACGCACGCACGCACGCACGCACGCACGCACGCACGCACGCACGCACGCACGCACGCACGCACGCACGCACGCACGCACGCACGCACGCACGCACGCACGCACGCACGCACGCACGCACGCACGCACGCACGCACGCACGCACGCACGCACGCACGCACGCACGCACGCACGCACGCACGCACGCACGCACGCACGCACGCACGCACGCACGCACGCACGCACGCACGCACGCACGCACGCACGCACGCACGCACGCACGCACGCACGCACGCACGCACGCACGCACGCACGCACGCACGCACGCACGCACGCACGCACGCACGCACGCACGCACGCACGCACGCACGCACGCACGCACGCACGCACGCACGCACGCACGCACGCACGCACGCACGCACGCACGCACGCACGCACGCACGCACGCACGCACGCACGCACGCACGCACGCACGCACGCACGCACGCACGCACGCACGCACGCACGCACGCACGCACGCACCCACACACACACACACACACACACACACACACACACACACACACACACACACACACACACACACACACACACACACACACACACACACACACACACACACACACACACACACACACACACACACACACACACACACACACACACACACACACACACACACACACACACACACACACACACACACACACACACACACACACACACACACACACACACACACACACACACACACACACACACACACACACACACACACACACACACACACACACACACACACACACACACACACACACACACACACACACACACACACACACACACACACACACACACACACACACACACACACACACACACACACACACACACACACACACACACACACACACACACACACACACACACACACACACACACACACACACACACACACACACACACACACACACACACACACACACACACACACACACACACACACACACACACACACACACACACACACACACACACACACACACACACACACACACACACACACACACACACACACACACACACACACACACACACACACACACACACACACACACACACACACACACACACACACACACACACACACACACACACACACACACACACACACACACACACACACACACACACACACACACACACACACACACACACACACACACACACACACACACACACACACACACACACACACACACACACCATTCCATAAAATGTTCGTATTGTTTTAGATAGATTTGCGGGGCATGTTATAGTAACAAATTTTAAGTCGCTGAATTTGCGGCTTCATAATTTTCAGCTGGATTGTCACTATCACTAATTTTGCTTTTTTACCGTTTTTATAATATATTAACAATTTTTTTGGAATTTTATATTACTGACAGAAGCCGAAAGTTTGTAAACATGTTACCTACAGCAACGCATTCCCGTTTCTTATCGTGGTTGCTTTGAAAAGGCATATCGCTGTTCCGGTAGAACAATGACATAACTGCATAAAGTAAAATGTTTCAGTAGGAGCAAAAAACGAAGACGGATTTCCTTTATGTTTCACCAACACTTTGCATAAATAGTTGTAACTTAGAAAATATCGTAAAAGTAAGTCAAATAGGTGTTTTTTCAAATAGGATGTACCGTAATATTATATTTTTAAGTCTAATGATAGACTTAACTCAATTATTGAGAATGTTGCATTTGCGTCACTGTTCTACCGGAGCATCGATATCTACAATCAAACATAACCGTAAGATATTAGAGGGAAAACATAAATGTTTGATTCTAGATTTTCACCACTTTTTTATAATAAAACATTAAAAATTTGATTTGAAACTTATTTTATACCTATATACAGTTTTACAAATATGTTTGATGGTGAATAACCTTTAAAAGTCAAAAACAGAAAGTCTACTTTCGTAATAAATTTGTCTACAAAAGCGGCCGTAAAGTAAATGCCGCTTAAAAAGTTATATTTTAAGGATCTTAATAAATCAGTAAAAAGTAATTTTTTATGAGAATCGAATAAAAATATGTTTCTAATGTGAAAATGTATTTGTTTATTTAAATCTTTTAATCTAATACAAATCCGTGTGTTCAGCTGAAACAAATAAATAACTTTTTAGTAGATATCTCAAGTTTCATTTCCTTATTAATTTTAATAGTTTTTTTTCTTGTTATATTTTTTATACAGAAATTCCGTGTGCAATAAATAATGAAACTCAGATTTTAATACTCTAGTAGTTTTGGGTACATTGTTATTCGTTTTTAATAAATAAATATTTACCTGTCGTCAGTATTATCTTCTAATTGTGCAAAACTAAATTTTAACACTAACAGGCACAGAATTATTAATACACATTTTCGCTCCATGGCTCTATTACACAGGACAAAAATTTACAAATATGATAAAATCTTTGTGTTTTTTTTATAAATAAACATGATTTTCTATTTTGTTACCTCCACCAGCAAGAAAAGCAATTAAAATTATTTTATTGTTTTCAAGACCATTGTCTTTTTATGGTCCGCATATTTAGAAAATGCCTTCATTCAAGAAACGACATCATTGAATAGTATTTTACTAATTTTATTTTTATGGCTTAGTGGACAGAAATACT